GGCCCCTCTGTGGCCGTGCACACGCGGGGCTTCAGCGAGCGGCCTCCTGGTGCTCCACACTGTGAATCCAGCTGTGCGTGCTTCCAGCTTCGCGGCATGTCCGTGCGCCGATTTTCTTCCTCCGGCGATGCCGACCCCGAGTGCACGGCTGTGGTCTTCGGTGCCGTCGCGGGCTCGACGCTCTGCCACATCACGGGGGACGTCAACTCGCCATCTCCCTCCTCCTCCTCCTCCTCCTCCTTCTCCTCCTCCTCCTCCTCCTCCTCCTCCTCCTCCTCCTCCCTCTCCTCCTTCTCCTTCTTCTCCTCTTCCGCCTCCTCCTCCTCCTCCTGGCCAGGCACATCCTGGGCAAAGGGTCGGTGTAGATGCCTCCGTGGCAACAGGAGGGCGAGGACTCCGACCCTGTTCCCAGGATGAGCCCTGGGCCTGGGTGGTCCGTTGGCTTTCCCCGAACATCCTGGGCGGAGGCCCGTACACCCACTCCGACGCTCAGGCAGCGGAGTTCTCTTGCTCGGTGAAGGCGCTGCACTGCGAGATGCCTCAACAGCTGGCTGGCTACGTGTTTGACCGGGCGCGGTGTGGGCCCGCGGCCGCGTCGCCGCAGTGCGAGGTGCAGTGCGCGCAAGGCTATGCTGGCTCCCCAGTGGCCCACTGCCTCACAGGCGGCGGAGAATTTCACCTGGAGGGCTGCGCTCTGCTCTCCAGCGCCTGGGACCTCCACGCCAGCGGCTGCTGCTCGGCCCACGGCTCGCTGCCTGCAGTGGCGACGCAGCGCGCGGTCTCGCTGGCCCAGTGCCAGGCGGCGTGCGAGGCCCACGGGAACTGCGCCGCCGTCACCTACCATGCCGCGGTCTCCCGATGCCACCTCTTTCCAGGCCTCACCGGCTCACAGCAGGCTGCCGCCAGCCCCGGGGCGCCGACACGTGGGGACCAGCCCGGCGCGGCGAGGGGCAAGATCGACCCCCGATCGCCCATGCCTCGCCCATCGGGGCCTCGGCGCCCCAGCCCTCCCAGGGAAAGGGGGGATCCTCAATCGCGGGCCTATTGCAGATCTGTCAGCGATGCGTCGCCGACTTCAGGTCGATGTTTCCCCTCCTGGGCCAATCCCCCCCTTTCGACGCCCCTCACCAGCATCTCCAGCGAGGGCCACCCTGAGTGCTGGACACGCGAGCGCTGTGCCTTCGCCCCATCCCCTGAGCGACCGGGCGCGCTGGAGGCATGACAAAGCGCCCCGAGTGCGGCAACGCGGCGGCGGTGACGACGACGTCCCCGGGGCCTGTCCTGCGGTGCGTTTTGGCAAGAGCCTCGAGGGGAACACACGCGTGGCCGCGAGAGTGCCCTTGGAGGCCTAGATCGGCCCACAAAACTCGGTCCTCGAGCTCCGATCCTCGAGCTTCGGACGACGACGGTGACGACGGCGGTGGCGGCGGCGACGACGGCAACGGCGGCGACGACGTTCCCGAGGCCTGTCCTGGGGTGCATTCCTGCGGGGGTCTCGAGGGGAGTCCAGTCTTGGCGACGAGAGCGCCCCGGGGAGGCCCCGGAAGGCCAACACAAAGTTCGGTCCTCCAGCCTCCGATCCGCGGAGCTGCTTGCAGGCCCCGCGGGGCACGCAGTCCAGTCGTTGGAACCGAGTCCATACGCCCGCCAAGGGGGACGACGTTCGGGCGGCGATGCTCCGACGCAAATCCGATGCGAGTCCGACGTATATATATATATATATATATATATATATTCACACACATATATATATATGTATATATATATATATATATATGTGTGTATATATATATATATATATGGGCCCTCGGACTCGGATTGCCGACCGATCCCCGAGCCTCCTCCGACGGCGGCGGCGGTGACGACGGCGGCGGCCGCGCGGCGAGGTCCGCGACTTCCTGCTCGAGATCGCGCGGTGCCGCGCCGCGGGGGGGCAGCGCGTGGCCGTGGTGTCGAACGCGGAGGAGGTGGTCCTGGCCGCCAAGGCGGCCGCCGCCTCCCGCCGGGCCTCCGGCCAGGGCAGGGCGGCCCGCAGTGCCCCTGGCGCGGTGCCGCTCCACGCGTGCCCTGCACGTGCGCGCTCCTCCTCCTCCTCCTCTCCTCCTCTCCTCCTCCTCCTCTTCCTCCTCCTCCTCCTCCTCCTCCTCCTCCTCCTCCTCCTCCTCCTCCTCCTCCTCCTCCTCCTCCTCCTCCTCCTCCTCCTCTCTGCGTGTCCCCTTGCGGGTGCGAGGCACCGCCGACCAGCAGTTGGCGCGTGCGCGTGCAGCTTTGGGGGGTCCGGCGGGAGGTGGTCCTCTGGCCGGCAAGGCAGCCGCCCCCCCCCCTTGGCAGTCCTCGGCCATGCGGTGCCACGCCTGCAGCTTCCGGCGCCGATGCCGCGGCACGTGTGGCGCTCTCCAGAGAGGGCCTGGGCCTCGAAGGATCGAGAGGGCGGCAGCTCTTCCTCGGCGGGAGGCGGCGGAAGGCCGGCGGGAGGCGGCGGAGTTCAAACGAGGGCTGCGGCTACTCCGCCAGCGGAAGCTCGGCGGCGGGCGGTGGAAGTAAAAAAGGCGCCCTCAAGAGCAGGGCTCGACCCAAACGGTTCTGTGGCGATTTCCGGCCGCTTTCGTTTTGATGTCGTCTTGCAGCGCAGGCGGATTGGAGACACACCGAGGGAAACAACGAAACCAAAACGACAACGAAAAACTCTGTTTTGGTCGATGCCCTGCTCAAGAGGTGCCATTTTTGGGTCGAGGGTTTCCGGATCCCGTCATGTGTTTACGTGTGCGCATCCGACAGGGGTTTAGCCAGAGGTGGTCCTGGCCGCCCAGGGTGCCGTCTGTGCAGTTTTTCTGGCCCGATGCGGCTGCACGCTTCAGCGCCGATCGAAATTCCCGCCGGTAGAAATCAGGTTGGAGATGCCGCGATCCGCGCTTCGGGGGCACGCGCCGATGTTGGCCAGATTTGGGGAAGCGGAGGAGCTCCAGACTCTCGTGCTCCCCGCCGTCGCCCCTGCGCGGCGTTGGCGTCGAGAATGTATATCCGCACCCACATGTTTTCACGCGTGTGCAGCTAAACTTCGTGCATCCTTACCCTGCGCCCTTGCTTCGGGCTTCGACTGTGAACTGCGAGCTCCTTCCCTCCTCCTCGTCCTCCTCCTCCTCCTCCTCCTCCTCCTCCTCCTCCTCCTCCTCCTCCTACCCCTTCTCCGCTGCCTGGTCCTCCTACTTTTCCTGATCCCTAGCTCTCTCTCTCTCTCTCTCTCTCTTTTCCTCTCTGATTCTTCTGCCCTGGAGGAGTGGTGCAGCCCTCGCCCGTGCTCCATCCCCCCGCGCCCCTCAGGTCATGCTTGCTTCGTTCCCTATTGTGCGGCTGTCGTGAACCTGCTGTCGGCCTTGGACTCCGCCCTGTCGTGGCGAGCTGTGGTGCTGCCGTTGCCCCCCTCGGCGCCCGAACTGGCGCTCGCCTGCCTCCCCGCCCTGGAGGGTGCCGCCTGCGCCCTCCGCCCACCGACCCGCGGTGTTCACGCAGGGGCGCCGCTCGGTTCGATCTCTCTTGGCCGCAGTCGGCCGCGGCTTCCCCCACACGAGCGACGCAACAGCGAGAGAAAGCGGGGTCACACCTTCGCCGACGCTGGCGCGAAAGCTGCCCGCGTGAAGTCGCGCGCGGGCGCCCTCGTCTCCCAGTGTAGCGTGCCGCGCCGGCGGCCTGCAGGAGCCGCGGCGTGCGGTCGCGACGTTCTCTCGCGCGAGGCCCGCTCGGTTTTTTCGATCACATCGCGGTCGGAGATCTGGGGGCGGGGGGGGCGCAGGAGATCAGCAAAACAGATTGCAGTTCCTGTCCTCTTTTTTTCCCCGCGCAAGTATTTTGGAGAGGGAGAGGGAAGGCAGAGGGGAGGCGGCAGAGGGGAGGGGGAGGAGAGGGGAGGCGAAGAAAAACAAAAAAATTGCAGTTCCTGCCCAGGGGGGGGGGGTGTAGGGGCGAAGCGGGTGGAGCCGCTGCGCGGCCGCGTCTCCTGCGTGGCCGGAGCAGTGCTCTCTGCTAGCTTCGCCGCAGGCGCTGCCCGTCCGTGTGGCGAGCGCCGCCTGCCGAAGCGCCGCCGCCGCCGCCGCCTGCTCTGGATCAGCGTCCGCTGCTGCTGGGCACGGGTCGCATCTGCGCAGCCCCTGTTTCCTGGGGACGGCTTCCGGGGGGTGGAGAAGACTATCGGGAACCCCCAAGCCGGGTGGTGAGATGCCAGGTGGCGACCTGGAATCCCCCAAAAAGGTCACCGCTGGGTTTGGGGGCGCGGGGTCACCACAGGGTTCTGTGACTCCTGGACCCACCAGTGTCTGGGACATCCTCGGAAAACCGCACGAGTCCCCAAACCGGGTGGTGACACCAAATCGCCCGAGACTCACCGGCAGGTGTTGTCACCACCACGTTTGGGGACTATCAAGACTAGGGGTGTGTGGATCTCTTGGCCAGGGCAACGGCATGTCCAAGATTTTCATGCCCCCCTCTTCTGCCTTCAGCGCGTTCCCTGCACCCCCCTCGTCTGCGCACATGCCTCTTCCATGATTTGCTGACCTCCCTCTTCCCGGGGTCCCCCTCTTCGGCGCACCCGACACTTCGGGCGTCCCAGCTTCTTTCCTCGTCCTCGTCTGCCAGTCTGCCCTCCATCTCCACCCCTGGCGCCCCCGGGGGCAGTGCTGATCAACGCGGCTGGGCGCCTGCTGACGCTGGTTCCAGAAGCTTAGAACGCTGGTCCGATGCCCCTGGGCTTGCCAGGAGGCTTGCAATCTGGAGCTTTTTGGAGTGCTTCTCGGAGAGTCTGTGAGCTACACTGAAGCATATCGTTGCGATGCTGCGTCGTCAGTGTCCCTCTGGACCTTCCTGAGATTTGGGATGATTTGTGGATATCCCCGAGACTTCCCGAAATCTGTGATCGGCCTCCTGGGCTTCCCGGGGACGTCCTCACGTCCCCGTGGGCTCTCCTGAGCGCTTCTCAGACGTCCCCGCAGCAGCTCAGACGCCCTCACAAGCCTCTCTGTCCTTTCGTCCATGGCCATCTTGTCTCAAGTTTGGAGGTGCCTGAGTCCAGCATCTCGATGGCTGCCCAACAGCGCCCTTGGCAGCATGAGGCGTGCGCAGGGATGCCGCGGGTGGTGCCGCTTCCAAGAAGACGTCACTGTCGTCGTGGTGGTCACCGTCGGTCATGGGGTCCCAGCGCACCCGCCGTAGCAGGGAGGCAGAGATCATTGTCTGCCGAGATTGGTTGCCCAATCCACGCGCTTTCTTTGCCCTGTTGACCCTCTGGCATGAACCCAGCATGCGCCACACCAAACCGTGGCGAAGAATTCGTATGATTTTTCGCACGTCCGCGACTTATGCGTGCGTTCATCCGCGATTATCTATTGGCCTTCGGCCCATCCCCCCACCGTGCCTGGGTTGTAGGTCAAAGGCCTCCTGGATGCCAGTGAGGATCTCTTGGGAGGCCTCTCGGATGCCTCTTGGAGGCGGCTTCGGGGGTGTCTTGGGGCGTTGGGGGGACCTCTTGGAGCCAGATTTGGGTCTCTCGGGGCCTCTTGGGGGCCCACCGCGGGGGCTTGTGGGGGGATCTTGGGACCATCTCGGAGCGGAGGGCTCCACATGTCAATTCGCGTTTCCCGTCTTGCGCCCTTCTTGGGACCGTCTTGAGGGCCTCTCGAGCATCTCTTGGGGGCTGTTGGGCCGTTTTGGGGCGATCTTGGGCGCCTCTTGGGCTGTCTTGGACGCTCTGAAGACCGAACGGGCGGCAATGCGAAAACCAAGAAAACCGCTAGGTTTTGACGAGTTTGGCTCCTTTGGCCGCCCTCCAGGGCCCCCAAAAGTGCGCCCAAGAGGGCTCCAGGACGGTCCCTGGACCATCTGGGACCACGCAAGGCATGTATGCTTCAGTCGGGCA